CCTCGGGTCCGGCATCCACCGGAATATCGATGCAGGTGACAAGCACTTGAGGCCTCAGTGACGCAGCCTGCCATGGTGCCTTTTGAATACGCTAGGCTTACCCTGTGTAGACATGTCCGAGGCAGTTGCATGTCTGCTCTCATGTTGCGCGCTGCTTCCCAAACAGCCTGAGGGAAACGTCTCTCGGGCAGTCACCTTTAGTGACACCAGCCTTCTGAATGCTGTTGCGCGAGGGGCCAGACCTGACTTGTTCTCGCGACGGCACGGCGCTCTGGAGAGCACTTTAAGCTACTGGCCCAAAGTCCATCTCCCTTCCGAAGCAGCCTCTCGTCACAACCACCAAGGGGATGCCATCCTGCAGTGATTGTCCTGACCACTCACATGCAAACATGCCAATCGCTAGCGTCAATCTCCGTCCTAGAGCCTGCACTGGAGTCGGCATGTCAACCGGAAGGAAGGCTTTTGAAAGCTGGAATGTGCGCAACCTGCAGCAGATTAGGACATCAGCGCGCACACACACACACACACATACACGAAGGAGCATCAGAGAAGCGCTGGCATGCAACATCCTATCATGAAACCCTCTTTGCTTTGCCGAAGGCTGAAGAGCATGACTCACTGTAGCTGGGTAAAAACACAAAGCCCAGCCCGATTTTGGCTGAGGCAAAAGACAAGGGTGTCCTCCTCCTGGAAGAACAGTCAGTTTGTAGGATGACACATGGGATGGTAGAAAAGAAAGAGAGAAAAGAACAAGATATTGATTGACACATTCAACGAACAAACTGACACTCGGCGTCTGGATTGCTTCATGTCTAGGAGAGATAGAGTATTGAGTCAGAAAACTTCAAAGCTACAAAGCTCCGAACGCTGAGTAGCTGGCAATGCCGCTAAGTGCACACCGCTGACCTGCAATGCGAAATCATGCAGCGCCAAGTAACAGTGCCAAAACTCAACATACGAGAGCTTCTTGAGCCAAGGTGCATAAATGCCTTTGAATACGCCGCTAGCATCCACACCGCCAGCAACAATGTCGCACTGACCAGAGCCATCCTGCGAGGCTTGACTGCTTGGCTGATTTTCCTGCTGGGTGCCTTGGTGGTTCCCGGTGAGTGGTTGTCTGGCCGAGTGGTGCCCGTGTCACTGTCTCGCGCCTGGTTCGCACGCTTCCCGCTGCACGATGATAAGAACAAAGAATGGAACAGGGGGAAGATGACCGACTCTAGCGATTGAACTTGGCTGCGTTGAAGCAAAAATGCAATCTACTGAGATAGATCAGAATGACGAGAGTGCACTCCAGTCTGAAGCCCGCGATTCTCTGCACTACTCGCCAAAACCACTTTGTCTTCCATCACTTGCGTGGCAACTACAATTCGTAGTGTGGCGCAAATTTGCGATTGTGCTTCCTGTTGCTGGACTAAGCTCGACCTGTGCTTAGCACCCCAAAAAAAGAAGATCCAGAAGCTGCGAGGTGAATGCAAGCCAGGAAAGATCTAAAGAAGCCAGAAACTGCGAGACAGTCCTCCAACCATGGCTGTATCCGCCTAAGGGGTGGCGGTGCCAACCCACCTCGCAGACCTGAGCAACTCAGGCCATGCAGCTGGCACTCCTACGGAAACGTCACTAATGACTTTCCAAGTGCGCAGGCCACTTCCAGCAGTGGCTTCTACTCCACCTCCTCCTGAACCTCCTCGACGAGGAGCCATCCCCCTGGCGGACGAAACAGACTCGACCAAAAAAGGGCAACTCAAGCATACATAAAGTCTCTGACAACCCAGGCTTGCGTGCATTTGATTCCATTAAGAGACTTGACTTTCAAGTCTGGCTACCTGGCTCACTTTGTTCATGAATGATTTCCACTGCGCAAGAGCATCAGCATCAAGCATCAATCACCTGGGTACCAAAGGGCGAAGGCCTGAACGCAATGCCATTTTGAAGCCGATCAAACCACCCTTGATGGCTCGGTGGGTGCAGCAAGGAGCAGGCCTGTTGTCGGCTCTTGGTGACGGCACTGTCGCACCGCACGCTTTGAGCCAACTTTGAGTCATGTGACACCGGGGCTTGCACACTTCTGCAACTCGCGAAAACCTATGTAAACATACACATTGGCAGCAGTTCTACTTTTTGTGTCTAATAAGATGAAGGTGCTTTGCCTCTACAAGTGCAGTACTGCTGCACTTGGGGTGAAACTGACTTATGCCCACGTCTGACGAAAATTTGAGCCGGTTTGACCTGTTCCGCGACCACCCCATCCGTTCACTGGTGAATCCCTTACAGAGTGGCAGTGTCTTTTGCCGGCTGATCAGTAGGCGACAGCTGTGTTCTATCGACATCGGCCTGCGTAGGGATGCTTCCAAGAGGCCAACAGTGCCCCTCCAGCCAATGGCATCAGGCCTGCCCTTGCAATCTTCGATTCCGAGCCAGCTCCTGCGCCAAGAACACATGCAGACCTACATATAGATGTGTATATATATATATATGTATGTGTGTAGATATATATATATATATATGTATTTCCTCCCCCCCGTTTTGAGATTCAAGATTCCCGGAAATCTTTCTGCAGAAACTTGAACCTTGAGAAGCTTGACTTTAAAGCCACTTTGAGGTACACCGAGCATCGTTTTCTAGCATCTTGAAACTTTAAAACTTGAATCGTATCCCCTTGTAACAAGCGATTTGCAGCTTCAGCTCAGTATGAGAGCAGTACACCAAGTACACTTTGGGGGTGTTTTTACTCTTGTCATGTTGCTGGGAATAGCAGCTATTTGGGAAAATGAGTTCAGTCCTATCTAAATTGTTAGTTGAAATTGAAATCCAAAACAATGGTAAAGCAGTTCCATGTGTATTCAAAATCAACTCTGCTAAAGTAACATAGTTTGAATTTGTAGAATTAAGTTAAGTCAATAACATTTGTTGAATATCAGGCATCAGAAGAAGACCCAACTAACATGCCGTGTCAAGTTCACACCAAATGGAACTTTAACCATCGGCATGTCCCTATGCATTCAAAGAACAACTATTAACATTGCAAGTTGAACTTCAGATCGACTTCAATGTCAAATTGTTAAATGTCCCTATCCACATCCATATATTTTTAGCTAAGCGCAAACTGAGCCACAGGAACGAGATTCAATTAACATGGATCTCCTCCTGAGCAAAATGCAGTATTCTATTTTATGCATGTGCCAAATCATCCTTCCTCCCCGCAACATAAAGGTCAAGCTGCACAGTTTACCCTCACACCTACTAGATCGAACATGAAGAGCCTGTAAAAAGAGGTACAAAGCTTCAGGAAAAGCCTTCGAGTTGACTTTTGGGCTGGACTGCACCCAAGATCCGAGATTGTGCAGAAAAAATGGATGTGTTGATATCAAGCCACCCCCACAAGGTGAAAGTGTTTGAGAAAAGTGGCAAATGTTGCTCAATATGTTCGAGGCTCTCAGCTCAGTTCCACTGGACGAAAAAACAAACAAATAAACTTCCAGCCAAAGTGGGGATAGGATTGTTTTTGTTCGGGGATTGTTTCTTGTTTTTTGGTTGGATTGCCAAATGGTGGCAAAATGTTGCGCAACATTTGGGAAATGTTGCGCAACACGCCCACTGGACCAAAAAACAAAACCAGAGCCACAAAACACGGAGCAAAAAACCTTACACCCATGGTTGGTGTAGGATTGTTGCTGTTGGCTGCTTCTTTTCTTGTTTATTGGCTTTATGCCAAACGCTGGCCAAAATATTGCGCAATAATTTGGAAGTTTTGAACAACATGTCCACGAGACCAAAAACACAGCACCAAGAAGAAAAAAGAAAGCACAGAGAATCAAAATACTTGGTGTTTTGTTTCTTTGGATTGTTGGCTTCACAGTTGGTTTGCGGACATGTTGGCCAAAACATTGATAAGCATGCTTCGCAACATGCCCACTGGACCAAAAAAACAAACGCAAACAAAAACTATCCCCACCATGGCTGCAAATGTGGGGAATGTTGCGCAACATTTCCAAAAACCTAAAACTATAGCCAGAAGAACTACTTCTTGATGATTTTTAGTGGGGACTAGGGCCAATGCCAAAAATGCTATTATTTTCTAGATTGCTTTTGGCTTGATGGCTTTTAGGCTGGAGAACAACCAAATGCCAGAGACTGCTATTGCTTGTGTTCTTTGGAAATTCCAATGCGGCTCAGTAGACTTCGAGTAGGTGCATAGATAGGCTCCCCTTGACTGACATGGCTGCCAAACAGATGAATGTCAACTCATCTCCTATCAGCTAACAGGCGGACAGGTACCCGCCAGGACGTCACCCAACGCATCACCGGAGAATTTGGATGTTTTCACTGCCCCCTGCTCAGAGGTTGGATCCGGGTGAATCCGGAACTCGCCACACACACACACACACGCATACACACCCCTGCACCCAGCCACATGCGCACATACACAAAAAAAATGTTGTTGCTCCTGCTCGGCGCCTCTGTCAGCTTCAACAGCACCAGTGACAAGAAAGCACCTAAGATCCGACAGTGGTGAGATGTGTGTTTTTGCAAAATAAGCTAAAGTGCGCACTTGATCAAGCAGAAGCCTGGAATGAGCGTGCCCAAGCCCACGGTCAATGCCCACCTCTGCTTTGCCATTTGCACGCATGAAGCATGAGGGAATCCAGCCAGTCACAAAGGTTCAAACATGCCAGCCGTGCTGAGCAGGGTTTGAAAGACCATTGCCACTCCTGAAGCAAACAAGCGAACAAGGCTGAGATTAGCCTTATGAGGTCAGTGTCCAAGTCAAGCTGACAAAGTTGCGTGAACGCTGCCAACTTGTTTGCACCTTCGCCCATTGCTCTCATCGTGAAATCGAAGTTTGGCCCAAAAGTTGCCCAGCTCAGTGAGTGTCAGGCTGTTGCTTTTGTACAACTCCAAAAGTTTAAGAGTTCAATTGCCACTTGCCAATTCCTCTCCCCCATTGCGGGCCCCCGATTTTGGGCCTTGGAGCATCACGCTTGGGTGATCGGCGAAGGACCTCACAGGTGCACCCGGAGAGTTGCGCATTTTGCGGAACCTGAGCCGTTCGCTGCTCGCATCATGGCCTGCCACGCAGTATGAATCACATTCAGCGAAGCCAGTGCTGCATGCGCTGGGTCTCTAGACTTGCGAGCCTATCTAGTGCTTCGCCTCCATTTTGGTCAACATACAGTGCCAAAGCCACAACCGTTTGCGAGCGTAGCACACGTGCACAACGTGCTGTGTGGTCTTACTGCAGCAAGTTGACTGCCAAATCGTACATGGCGGGCTGGCCAAAGGGCTTCTCCGCGCAGGCTGGAAAGCCGTGCTGTCTAACTATGCTCTGTCGTGACATCTCTGAATATGTGCGCGAGAATGAAAGAAGAATAAACTGGTTTGGCTGCTGTTCATGTCCACTTGCTGATACAATAATCTTCCGCACATCAGATCCTAGCTATGCTGAGGTGGAAGTGACAGAGGCAGAAACAGCAGCAAGCAACGACATGTTGATCGACGTGTGCTGTAGACTTCACCGCGCAAAATGGCAAAGTGAACTCTAACGCAATGTCAACAGCTGAAAACACAGTCACAAGCCGTCATCTCGAGCACCGCAAGGAAAACCATGTGAGCAAAACCAGTGGCCAGCACGCCCAAGGCACGAAGCAATCGCAGGCAATAACAGGAAAAGAGGCAGCCAAAGGCTGTCAGAGAAATGGTCTGACCATCGTTGGCTCTGAGAGGCCATGAAAGTTGAAGTGAGCCCTCTGCAGTCAAAGGTCAGTAGAGGCGGTAGAAAAAGAGGTCGGAAGCAAGCAAAACTGTCTGGGAACAATCAGAAAGGGGCAATCCAGCACGTGTTTTGCGCATGCTCATCTTGGAAGCTGCTGTCCTGAGCATGCTTGCAGGAAGTCTCGCCACATGGCCAGTCAAGCAAGAGCCCTTTCCTCCATCTCAGCTTGAAGCTCCTGCCAGCAGTCTCTGATAGGGCCAAAATGTCAACAGAGGCATCGGTACTATGACATACAGCTAGGTGTATCAACGCTTGGCTCTTGTAGAACTCCGTGCAACTCCTGCAGCCAATCCTTTGAAAGACGTGCTGCTCTTCCAGCCAGGCTAAGAACTTGCACGACCTGGCTCGACATATTCAGCTTGAGAACTGACAACGGAAAGGGCTCCTGCTCCGCCCACCGCAACCCCCATTTTCTTGGTTCATTCACCCTAAAGCACGACAATTGCGACACGGAAACTCGTCTGAGTCCTTCCTGACCAAGCCTCTCAAAACTTTGTGGGGCCGTCTATTACATTTAGCAATTAGTACAGCGGCTTCCAACACACAGCCAAAACCGGAGTGAAACAACCTATGCACATGTTTGCTTACACGTCAAGATGGCTGCTGTACTCACCCAAGAGAGGTTGTTTAACGCATAAAAGGACTTTGGAAGTGAATACAGAACCAGAATCAGTGTCACGGCGGCAGGCTAATGTGTAGCGTGCTTCAACGCACCGAGCAATAATCCTGCGGCAAACGTCCGCATTTGTCATGGACTCATGGTCTTATGGATGCTTAGAGGAATTGCCCCCACCGCAACAGGCCTGGAATCTTGCAGCTGAGCCTGGCGCAACTCTGCCAGCAAAGTCTCTGATAGTTTAGTGCAAGTACATTAGTCTGCCATGCCTTTTAGCCTTGTTCTCAAACATGTCCAAACACTCATGCATGTCGATCGAGTTGGCAGGCATGAGAGGCTTCAGGATTCGCCCACAGGACGAGAAATTATGAATGTCCAAGGGCAACCCGATGTAGTTGAATTCATCAACATTCCTTTGCGCACTTTCAAACACACAGAGACTGCACAAACCTTAGAGATAAGTTGCAGTTGCGTGGTCATCACTTTGAGCAGCGGCCATGACTTTGATATGAATTCCATGCTGATGCACATGCCGTGCTTCATCAGGAAAACGAAAAAGGGAGCTGCAAACAAGCGCACAACATGCTGCAACCAACATGTTTCAGGGGGGGGTGCCACACTTGGTATGAAGGATGAAGCTGGCCTAACCCATAACGCGCGTGCGGGGCCAGCTCGCAACACGCCCAGTCCCCATCTAGCGCTTCTCCCACGCCCCTCATCCAACAGACATGTGGAGGCAACGCAGGGCAACTTTGCTGCAAAACGCAGATGTGTTGCATGCGTCAACAACTATGTGTTGCTGGCGCCGCAAACTTGCACGAAGGCAGCATAAAGGCCGTGGTGTTGGTCTCGACCACTGTAGTGCGATACCAGCCAAGGTTGCGCATGCGACCAGCGCGAACAAAAGTGAAGTTGATGAAGCAGGTGTTCCACAAAAAGCGATGATGAAATGCTTATGATTTGCACACGCAACTGTGCGGCAACCCCCCTTCTGGCGGTTGACCCAACATGTTGGAATCCCAGCCCTTGATTGATCAATCTATGTGCCTTGGCCTAAAGTTGAGTGTGGGTGGTGGAGGTGCAAGGCAGCAGCGACATGATGTACTGACGGAGTCCGTATTGTTGATGCCCTCTAGCACTGCAAACCTTGGGTATGCCGGAGTCTGGCTCGGAAAATTACACAGCTGCTCCGTGTAATGCCAGCGTTTTTTGGTGGTGCAGGCCCTACTCGTACACCCAACACCGCTGCAAAGAGTGCCCCGAGCGCGAGTCGCCTGGCCTTTACACGGGGGCATAGGAGCGAAACTCAAGTGCACTACGACAAGCCCCAGCTCGAAGATCAAGGGCGCGGGATATGATCAAACTCACCAAACTCCCGAGGTGTAGGTAGGGAAATGCCTCGAAGATTGTAGAAACAAACGAAGGCAGGCGAGATTGCAAACAAGCAAATTACCTAGCAAACATTGTTGAGCCGCGTTTCGTTCGCGAAATGCCTACGTGAGAAGCCTGCAAGCTACCAGTGCCTTCATCGAATGAATCCTTTGGACACTCGTGCCGCTTGAGTCCGCAAGAGAGCAACTCGCAACTCGCACGCCAGCCTTCGCCTGGCAGAAGCCGAAATACAAAGCTGAGGCCTGGAGCGAATGCAAAATCTGCGAATGCCGACTTGGGATTCTCAGCTCCGGACCATCGAAATCCATGGCCTGAAGGTCTCGGGTCTCTACCCAAGTTTCCGATCGCCACCTTCTTTGCAACACCCAACTATTCTAGCCGCCCCTAGCTGACTGCACTGTGATGGTTTGCCCTCTCCTTGCTCTTTCTCATCGTTGTCCAAGAAGAGAAACTGTGCTACTTGTTTGCTAGGTAGATGCTTAATGACCTGCCAAGCATGACTGGTGTACCCATATAAGTGACGTGGTACTCCTACGGCTCGAAGGAGACTGCCGTCGAGACTGTGGCCTCGCGCACTTCCATGAAAAGTTGGTTGTCACCCTCGATGCAAACGTGGCAGTGGCACGGTCGTGGGTCCAAACCTGCGGCAAGCCATCTGGCAGTTGTCTTCAACAAAGCACGGTTGCCCTTGCAACATGACTTGCACAATTTCATAGGGTGCCAAATCAAGCATCCAACGAAGATTGAATTTCAAGATGCTCAAATTGGCGATGTGCAAAGCAGCAAACATCTGAGGACAAGGCCGATCACTTCGTCAACTGCCATTCGGAGCTGCCTTCAGAAAATTTCTAGTTGCAAACCCATGCTGATTCCCAGGCCACAGCATGCCGTTGCGAATCCTTCTGAAAGTTGGTAGAATCCCAAATGCGCATCGCCACTTTCTTGTGGATTGTGCGACGCCACGCCGCCAAAGTGAGGTTCCTCAAAAGCATGTTTGCAGGCGTGTTTGCTCTTAGGGGAGCGGGTGCTAAGGAACATTGAAGCAAGTTCCCTTCTACCACCAGGTTCACAAACGCGCGTTTCAGTGGTTTAGGCTAAGGAACCCAACAGTGACAGCTTGGAAAATTCTTGGTGGTTCTGGGTCTACACACTGCACAGCCAAGACTGCTCGCATTTGGTGTCGCAAGAGTGCTAAAGATCCGCAGCGGTTGCATTCGTGCAGACAGGTACCAAGTACTTCGAAAGCTGGCAAAAGGCCTATGCACGCGCTTTCGCACGGCCACCCTGACAACTGACAAAGGTTCTCTTTTGCTATGAACCCTTGTGCGCTCGAAACTGCCGCTCAGTCCATCAAGAGATTGGCAAAGGCAGGCTCGCATAAGAGCCATAATCTCTGAAGCATGGGGTTGTGCTAGAATCACATTGGGTGTGGGACTGCAGTATCATTTAGCGCTCTTGTATCGAATCCAGTCACAGCAGTTGACGCCGCGCCATGCACAGGAGAAGCACGGTTGTCGAGTGTGCACCGTCAGACCCCACAAATCACATCCGCAACCCGAGAAGGACTGCTCAATGAAACTTACTTTGTTCCAACTTCTTCAAGCACCTGATGCAAAGCATATGGAAAAACTGAAGCCCGCGAAACTCAAAGCATGGAATCTTGCTTGTGAGCAGTGGCTCTCCAGGCTTGTGAGACCAAGGCTATGAAGACTGCATGTGGTGCTGCCCCTGGATTCGTGAAGGAAGCAACGAGGCAATGAGGCAATCATACTATTGCCAGACCAAGAATTCCAACTAAAAGCGCCGATTCAAGCAAGTTGACTCGTTAGCGGCGCCTTTGAAGTCCCTTCATTTGGCCATCATCTCAAGAGCCAACCATCTACCAAGAATGAGCCTAAAACATCAAGTCACGCTGCTGACATGAACCCTAAGCTGTAAAGTAGCTGCTGAGCCCAAATGTCTCAAGAAAACGGTCGTTGTCACGGCCCTTCAGAACTCTGAGTTTGATACAAACGACTGCTCAATGAATGCACCATGACCCTTTCAAATACTCTGCGCCTGGGTCTTGTTGCCAAGATGCTGCATCGCGGTTGATGTGTGCAGCATTGAAGTGACATTCTCCTGGTCAGACAGCACAACTCGGGCAAGACATGCTTGCACTTGGAGCTGGCAGCAAAGTCCGTGCCTCCGAGTCTCGAAAGTCCGGATAGAACCTGTGACCGACTTTGCCACGTGTGCAGTCTGTATATGTCGCGATGTGCCTGCAAAGATGCTGAAGTTCTTCGAGTTGTTCAAGAGCTGCACTACCTGTAGATGCACATGGCATTTGCTTGTGTATCCATTGCTAGCATGCTGCGCTTTCGCAACCAAACACCATTTTGGCCCCTTAATCGATCTGGTTCGCCTGATGATCACGCCGGCTCAAATGTGCAGCTTGGAAGCTGGCTCCAAGTAACTTCTGCTGATGCTTTGGGTTCCGGAAGCCAATCTGCAAATCGCAGCTCCTAGGCAGCTGTTTGACATGATGCTAGGATTGAGTGCGATGTGCAAAGCCCAATCTGATCCCTGTTGTGTTTTCCGCGACATTGACTGAATGATGCTGCCTTCTAGCAAGCTGGTCTGTCGGACACAGGTATGTCGCTATGTCTGCTAAGTACTTGCCATACCTTCAACGAAGCCGGGCCAAGTGCCAAGTGCTGCTAAATCAGCACGAGCTTTTCCGCATTTCGCGAATTGTGAATTCAACCTGCAGTAATTTACACTGGATCCACTTACTGACCCAGATGTTCGTATGAATTGTGCCACTGTGAAACAAGAGACATATGCCCACTCGATTTGATTACCTGCATTTACACCTGCAACAGACTGATCTGGTGTGCCATGCCGAGGGCCACATATTCTGGCTGCGAAGCAGGCCACTGTCCTTGGTAGACCTCGGTATCACAGTCATAGGCCGCAACCGGCGTGTCAAGCTTTGATGGGACGGCCTCCGCCACATCCCAAATGACACCGTAGCCATCTGTCCCACAAAGAAGATGATTGCGTGAGTGCGGCGCCCAAGCAATCGAATTGACACAAGAGTCCTGGTAGTTAAGACAAGCTAGAGCAGCGCATGGTCGTCGAATGTCAATCAAATTTACGCCAGGGGCATCCATTGCAATGGTCGCGAGGTGATTCGTGTTAATCTTGTTCCAAGCCAGTCTGAGCAACGGAGATGGCGGATCAGCCTCGTAAATGATGGTTGAATGATCCAAATTCCGCTGATCAAACAGCCTCACCGAGCCATCAGCTCCCACAGACGCAAACAGAGCATCAACGTGCGAAAAGGCAATGTCATAGACTGCCTTGTCGTGCGCAATAAGCTGCGTCTCAATCTTCTGCTTCTCCAGGTTCCAAATTGTACATGTTGTATCAACCGACGAAGCTCCCAGCTTGTGATAATTGATTGTACTCCAGTCAAAAGATGTCAGAGGCGGCGAGCTTTGTTTCTGCTTTTGCGCTCTGGTGTTGGCCAGATTTGCCACAGACTTCAACTGTCCATCTTCAACTTTCCAAAGATTCAATGTTGTTGTGGAGGAGGCGAGCAAGTCCGGGCGCTCTGAGCCATTGTCCGGGCGCCACAAAAGCTTTGTTGGCGGAAATGGGTGCTCTGCCTCAGCAACGCATTCCAACTTCTTGGTCTCCTCATTCATCTCAACAATCTGTATGTGATTCGTGCCCTTGTCAATGCAACTCCCAACCGCAAAACGGAAGGAGGCTTCTGGCCGAAAAGAAAAGGCCAGTGCATAAGCGGGCCATTTGGTATCATAGTCGAATCGGCTAGCTGCTTCCATCAACTTCCCAAACCTGTACTTTACTTGAGCTGGTAGTGGCTCTGCATGTAAGCATCAAGCAACAGCCAAAGTTAATATGTGAATGAATAGGCATACATGTACGTGTATTGCAGCTGTGCTGTTTGGAAAAAGGTGCGGTTGGAGGCCAAAAGTGTCAGTCACGCGCATAGCAAGTTCACCCATTCAGTGTTGACACCGATGTCAGTTGTACAACAGAAGTTCTCGGAAACCGTTCTGCATTCAAAAAGCTAAGCCCGCTCCTGTCTGTTGCATGTGCCCTCTTCAACTGGAGTCGCTTGACCAACGGCATCTACCGGGTGATACGGCTTGATGTCCAACCTTGCTGGGCCAGGAAAGGCAATCAAAAGCCCATGGATTCAAAAGATTCGAGCATGCGCAAGAGGCAAACAAATCTCAGCAGCTGACACCGCAGAGCCATCCACCACATCGACGCCGCTCACATAGATTGTAGCTCCCGCCTCCATTTTGGTAAAGGAATCTTGTTCCACTTTGCAGCTGAAAGCACTGGCTGCCTGGTCCACGCGGTCCAGGCGACAGAGTGTCAAGCCGACAGGATTCGGTCCTTGCCATCAAGCAAAGCTCCAAAGCCTCAAGCATGCTATGGCTAATAAGATCCATACGGTGAGGTGACCTTGTGGCAAAGACCTCGTCGCTCCGCACAACTAGCGTGAGGTGCCGTAACCCAAACTTACAGGGCTCTCAGCCTGGGACACCACGTGTCCCCCGCCGACCATCTTCCCCTAAACACAACACAAGTCAAGTCAACAAGCGACGCGCACACGGCCTGCTAGCCATGGCGGGCGCACAGTGGGCCTTACGGCGCGGATACACCAATCTTGTGTTGCAGAGTGTGACATGCATGGAAAGCGCACGCAGAGCTGAACTTGTCTTTGCCCGCTGTTTCTTCAGCCTGGCATCATGCCTACTTGAACTCTCTGGTGTGGTGCCTCTGCTTGACCGTTGCGGATCCGCGTCTGTGTCCAAGGTGACCGTAAGTCAGTCTAAAGATTGCCAAGCGCATCGAATCCATGCGTCAAGGCACTGGCACGACACTGATCACCTGGCCAGGTATCTTCACATGGCCAACTTTAGGTGGTGTCAGGGTTGTGCCAGTCAGTGCGACCGCGGCTGCTACCGCTGCAGCTGACTCCAGCTGTACCGCCACAACTGAATCTGATACTCGGAAAGAAAAAGGAAGCTCGAAGCCAGCGTTGACAAACAAGACATTGACATCTGACAAGCTCGATGTTGCAGGTACGTTGTGGATGTGAACCAAGTGGACCTCTTGCGTGGCCAGCTCAGTATCATCATCATCAGCATCATCATCATCATCATCAAATGCTTGCTCGGGAGACTCGGCGGCCATCATATTGCGCTGGCAATCGCATCTGCCTTCATTGTACAGTGCTTCAGCTGGCAAAGTCAATCTAGAATCACTTCTAAGTCTACATGATTGAATGTCGAGTTTCTGTCAACCGGCTTGATATGTCAAACTGTGCCTGTGGCAAGTGGTTTCAATATGTTCAAACGTACTACAGGCTCAAATTGTTCAGACCGTGGCTATGAGCCAATCAAGCAATCCGCACACCAGTGAATGAACAAGACGCGGCTCATTGGCAATCTTTGCTTTGCGCAACATTCACTGGCATTGGACGATATCAGTAAGGACGGGACTTCAAAAACGAGCTCGCCGAGTCGAACGAAGTGCTACCTGCATAGACCATAACATACCAAGATGTGTCACATCATGCCAAGCATCTTCAAGCACGCAGACACAGACTTTTCCGCCACAAACTCTCAGGCACGATCTGTGTCTGTTCTGGTCGAAGAGAAAGATGACCCACACATGTGAAAATGCCTTCAAGGCAGCATCGAGTTGCGTCACTGAGCCTGCCGACATCCCCACCTCCAAGCCAGCCAAGAAATGCCCGCCGGCCATTTGCATCCAGGGTGCCAACCTAAAGACGGTGGCACAACCAGTGGAAAAAGCAGCAAGGTTTTGAAGTTGGGATTCTGGCTGGATCTGCCCTCGCACAAATGGCGCTGCCAGTCCCTGCCAAGTAAAGCACGTCAGCAAGGCTCCTTCTGAAGTGCAAGCCATAGCGATCTATCTGTACGTCTGTCAGTATCTTTATCCCTATCTCTCTCTCTCTCTCTCTCTCTCTGTCTCCATCTCTGTCTTTGCCTGCCTGCCTGCCTGCTTGCTTGCCTGTCTGTCTCTGTCCGTGTGTCTGTTTGCATTCTGTAGACCCAAGTCCATACACAAACACAAGTTACTACGCAAATAAGTAGGTATGTCAGGGCTTCCCTTGCAGCCCCTTGAAACACTCAGGCCTGGCGGGGACATCCAAATGCCGAAGGGAAGCAGGTGGAGAAAGTGCCTGAAAGCGTTTTACAAGGAATGCAGGGCGTTGCGGTCATTACGGCCTATCTTGGCCAGCTCAAAGGTCTCAGGAACCGATTCCTGCATCGCCAGTTCTGTTGCACAAGTGGCTGCGCTGGCATCCAACAGCACTTATTTGACTTTGCACGTTTTTCCCAAAACCCCCAGCTCGGCCTGCTCTGCGCTACACATGCCCGGTACACGCTTTGGCGGATGGGCTGCATGGACTGTACTAGAGCAAAGGCGGCATTCATCATCATGTTCACCCTTTTCACTTGGTGCGATGTCCGGACTGCAGCAGAAAACAATGGTTGAACCGCGGCCATTTTGCACTCAGGAGCAACTGTGTCGCTGGAAGCTGCATCCACGAGCGGTGGGGAGGCAGGCCTGAAGTGAGCGTATGCACTAGACTTGACACTGGCAACAAGCTGCGCACTTTCGATTGAGCCAGGCGTCGAGACAAGGCGTCGCATGAAGTACACAGCTACAGCGATGTCGAAGATCGCTGCCAAACAAGCAACGAAGGATATGATGCTCTGGGTGAGCTCCTCCTTCGTCAAGCCTTCAATGTCATCCTCTTTCACCTTGCCAACTGATGCACTGTGCAAGCCGAATCTGCATTACTTCTCCAAAGGTATATTGGGTCGTGTGTGTTTTCCCTTCAAAGTTGTTCCATGGAGTTTAAGAGAGTCACCTCCTGGTGTCTGCCTTCGTTCGCGGTGGAAGGGGCTAAACTTCGGCTGGAATGACCTTCATGCCATCGTCACTGGCAACACTAAGAATTCGGTGTGTCCTTCGCATTCTCATCTTCTCCAAGCTTTCTCTCAGGAATTCAGAAGTCGCTACGCTCTCATTGACTTCCTCAAATCAAAGATGACTGGATCACCCGACAGGCTCGTATTGGCATCAACACCTACTCGAAGGTCCGTTTACATCTTCCCAACGAAACCTGCAACGCATCCGACAGCTATTCCCAGGATGTGCCAAAGGCACTCGGAGGACCACGCGTCCTTTCGCACAATGCTCTGCCCGTTTCCGCCAGGCTGAAAACAGTAGGATTGCCATGAAAGACAAAGACCATGTCTTGACATCCTTGCAAACTCACCGGGTTTCAGGTGCAAAATACGAAGGATGCTTGTTTCTGAGTGGATTCCATGGTCACTGTGCGAAGGTTGGCATGGATCACTGTATCTATGTCATTGACAACCTGTGAGCGGTTTTGCCCGTCAGGCGAACCATGACTGGAACGCAAAGTCAGAACTGGCAACTCAAAAGCTCACTCGTGTCTTTGACTGGCTCGGGCTGCTTACGAATATTCACTCGCCTGCACAGATGCTCAAGGGAGCGCATACCAGAGCCTACATAGGTATCAATGCCCTCGGTAGGCCTCAGGTCAGGTGGAATCATATTCGAGCCTCGGTCCAACAGTTACTTTGGCCGGGGCCCGCCACAGAGCATTTGGCGGTGGGAAGGTCTCGGAGCCCGAGTCTTAGATGACGAACTTGTGGGCGCCCAATTCGGACGGAGCCTTGAAACAATGCACCTCCAATTGCTCAGCCACTGCCTGGACTACTCCTCCGTCACTACCCCTGTCTGAACAAAGGGCAGACACTTCCACTTGGCAAGAGGTAGAAGTCAAATCCGTGGTGCATCCCGGGGTCACAGCAAAGAAGACTTCCGTTGCTTCAAAGCAAGTGACCCAGGCGCGAGCATCTGCCTCGAAAATGATGCCGGTGGTCAATCGGGGATTGAGGTGAGAAGCAGCTTCCACGCAGAAGCCATGCGAAGCCAAGTTGCAGAAGAGAGCTACAGAGGAATGATTCGTCATGTGCGTGCAGTTCTGATGATGCTTCTCCATGGTCCACCAATCCACCGGGACAGACAAGTGGCTGTCATGTGGCGTGCATGCAACGTCCACGGTTGCCGCATCAAGAGCCACAACCACTCCACCCATTGACACTGGAGGCCCAGGCGGAGTAAGTGCTCCCAAGGCATCATTACTGACACCGGCTCCCTTTTGCTTCATAGCATCGAGATTGGCACAAACTCGATGAATGGCTGAAGTGCATGCCAGGGTGTGCATGGAAGCTGCGGAGCACTCTCGAATTTGCATTGAGAGTTCATACTGGGTGCTGGTGGGATGATAGGAGATGGCACTCCCACAATCACTTCCGAAAGCGCTCTTGCACACATTTCTTTGAGAGCGAGCGTGGGCCATAAGCCGCACATTATCAATCCGGCCAGTAAGTCCCATACCAACAGAAGGATCTTCATTGTCGTTGCCGATGATGAGGGGATACTCAGTGCCAAGCTGGAAGGTGTTAAAGGAAGTCGGCTCGGTAACAATCTCAACGCCGTTCGCGTAGCTCGTCACAGTCTGGTCAAGGCCATCGAAAACCAGAGCGAGGTGAACCCACTCGCGGGTCTTGTAATGTCCTCCGTGCACCGCTTGACCATGGAAGGTCCAAGTGATGTCACCTTTAGAGAAGCTCAAAGCGATGTTGGGATGGTGTAGCAACCATCGCCTGCTCGACGCTCCAGACCAGAACGTTTCCTCAGTTGTTCAATGAAATTGGAAAAAAAGGAACCCTTTTTGGGGAAGATCATTTTTAGTGGGGCAGCCAGAAAAAAAAAGAAGAGGAAAAAAAGGAAAAAGGGTGCCACTGAACAACTGAGTTTCGAAGGCCAGCTGTGCCGTGAAGGCGCGGACTGGAGAGCTCACTCCAGGCACATCCACTGCGTGGGAAAGGTCCACAACCACAGCACCATTACCTCAAGACAGGAATTCTGGACCTTTCACGGCCGCAAACGCCACAAGGGTGTGGTTGTCCCAAATATGGCAACCCGAAAATGAAACCCTCACCAAAATGGACATAAGTGAAATAAGCACCAAAACCTGCGGTCCTCCGGTGGTTGAATTTTGACCCATACCCAAATCTTTGGAACAGCTTTCATTTGCCAAGTCTTGGCCCTGGCCTGAATCGAATTGCATGGAACTTCCGACGCCTTGGGCGACTGTGGGAGCATCCGTGGTGTCGTTCATGTGGGAGCCACATTGGCCTTTCATCTCACCTAAGAGGAAATGCCTGGAGAGGTCTGGAATCATCTGATAGTTTTGGGCTCCATCTCCCCGCCAGTATGCGTTAGTCATTGGCAGGAACATGATGTCCCAATGAGGAGACTTCCACGCGTTAAAGAGCTCCACCTGCGCTGGCAGAGCACCAAAGACGCAGCTACTCCTAACGTTTCATCTTTCAATTTGGCTGTGGTTCTCAAAACTGGGTAACCCAAAAAATGGGTTGCTCTGGTAAATGGAAACATGGACCAAAACCTGCGGTCCAATGGGGATCTTGAGCGGTGCCTCTGCATAGTACTCATCCCAAGCTGCAACGGAAGCTGGTAGTTGGCGCCACTGCCAACCCCACTGGTGTGCAGCTCTCCTGGAAAGCGATGTGCTGCAGTTCGCTCGGACTCATAGTTCCAGAGCAATGATGACCTGGTGAAATAAACTTACTTTGAGCTAGCTACAAGTTCGCTTCTACATGGAGAAGAAAAAAAAAGAAAGAAGCATTGTATTGGAAATCATCATGGCCGTCTCAAGCCAGCTGCCATTCTGACGAGGAGGGATCACTCCCATCGCAATGACATCATTCCCAAACATAGTGAACGCGTACAAAAGCGGATTTAATTTGCCCCAAGTCGCATGTACCTTTTCCGCGAACCCTCTTGGTTGAAGCCACTATCCATGAAGATCTCCATACCACCAGTATCTTCACCGATCACTTTGTAAACGCCTCCTGCTCCTCCGTACCAAACATTGCGGCCTTCGAGATCAAGCCAAACATAAGTCCCTGGCTGTGGATTCGTGGCTGAGAATGGCACGCCCAGGTCATTTTTCATTGGATGCCTGGCAAAGGGATAGCGCTTGGGCAAACCAAGGCCATCAGGGTCCGTGACAATCTCCCGAAGGGGACGGAATGGGGGAAAGTCCAAACCGCAGGGCTCCCCATCTGCCGGCAACGCCGTGTAGACCAAATTCCCGGACGCACCGCTGGAAATGTTGCTGCCAATATAGAGCAAGCCATCACCTCTCAGGATTCTCACAGGATCCATGTGACACTCTTTGTGACGAAACTGGCATTGCTTCGAGACCCAAGTTCAGATCTTAAAACTTGAAAAGCTTAAAGGGACCTTTACGAATTTTGTGATATCTGTTTGGGTCACATGTGCGCGCCTGTGTGGTATCCGTACCGCGGAAGTTTGTTGGACATGCGCTGATAGTCGCCTTGCACCACATCCACAATCTCAGCCTCTGGCGTCATTGGGTTTGCAACGGTGACATTCAGCCAATGTCGCCATTGGTCGCTGTTGCTGTACATGGCATACAAGTGATTCCCGTTGGGAAGCACCTCAAACGGCTTCTTCCAATTGGGGAAGCACAAGGAAGCTCTCCAAGGCCACCTGATCTGCAAGTCTTTCTTCCACAAAGACCAAGCACCATCGTCGAAGCGAGGCAGCCCTTCCGTGAAGCTGAGGTTTTCAAACTTGAAGTAGCGCACGTGCCTGTAACTCTCTCCACAGAGAAAGATTCGGCCATCAGGGGAGTTGGAGTTGCACTTGTTGTGATCTGTTCGATGTTTCGCATCCGCCGCCTCTTGGACGACATAGTCGGTGCTCAACGGGAGCTGCATGTTCCAAAGCTCATGTCGGGGAGGCTGCACGAAAGAAGAGCCCCTTGCCGTCTCCAGAGCGTTGGCATCGTCGCTCCTCATGGAGCGCTGAAGCAAGGCTTTGCTTGCGCTTGCAGAAGCGCACGCCGAATCCAAGCCGCAAGTCCCGGCCGCTCGGACTGCCATTAGCATGGCCAAAAAAATGCCCATGATTCGCAACATCAGGGCACAACGGTTGCGTTGGGAAGGTTTGAGATGAAAGCTTGCGGCGTCAGGAGAACCATGACTGGAACGCAAAGTCAGACCTTGCAACTCAAAAGCTCACGCGTGTCTTTGCTCGGTTCAGGCTGCTTAGAAATGTTCACTCAAGCAATGCACACCTTCAAGTTGCTCAAGCCGCGAGCAAAAGTAGTGTCAACCGGCACGCCCATTCAAATAAATTTCAGCCAAAATACAAGAGTCCAGCCACGTGCAACTTGTAATATGTATGGTATGTTAAACCCAGGGGGCACATGCTGGAGCCCGCGAGTGCAGAATTCCTTTGGGAGGTTTCAATCCTTTCAGAACTGATGTTGTTGCTTGGGCGAAAATATGCCACCTGAATTCCATTTTCTCCAGATCTGAAAGCACAGCCGCCGAAAACGCATGGAACCGCCAACAGCCCGCTCCCGGAGCCTCGCCCTCGCTGGAGGTGCTCGACGCAGGTGCCACCTAAGGTCAGGTTGAAACATCACATCTACAAGCGGAAGCCATCGGGAGAGGCTCAGCCCCGGGCTCAACCCCGATTTACACGTGTAAACCCCCTTTTTCGGAAAACCTCCGGTGGGTTCCCCTAGTGGCTCTGGGCGCGGGATGGCAAACATGTGGTCTTATAAACTCATGCAAGATTTCTTCCATCAACAGTAGCCACGGGCAGGTTGAGCATCACAGTTTTCCAGCGTTGCGCAGTGTGAGCTGTCATCTTGCAAACGGCGAGTTGCAGAATTACAAAGCAGAGGATGAAGCAGCGCGCGGAAGCTTGGGAGCCCCCAGTCAACACTCAGTCAAAACTACAGTCAGCACTCGTAAAACCCTGGCAGGGCCAATGAAACGGCTCAGTCAGGAGATAAAACAAACAAAAATATGTAAAACTGGTTTTTTAATTGCCTGATTTGTGGATTTGCTGGCCCTGCCAGGATTTGGGGAGTGTTGACTGTAGTGTGGACTGAGTGTTGACTTGGTTTTGCGCCGCTTGCGAGGCTACCTAGCTAGGACACTGCAACAAAAAAACACTATGCCAAACGAACTAGCCACAGAACGTGCGATGGCGATAGGTTGGTCGAAACCCAGTCTGGTTGCTTGGTTGGTTGTTTGGTTGGGCAGTCTGTTGCATGGTTTGTTGGGTAATTTGTTGGTTGGTTGACTGAGTGTTGGCTGTTCACGGGGTTCAGCAATCAGACATGAAGCAGCTCAACAAAGAGCCCTCTACACCATTCGGTGGATGGAAGATATCTTGCATGACTTTTGAAGCAGATCCATGCCATCTGGCGGGGTGGCAAACATGTAGTCTTATAAACACATGCCAGATGTCTTCTATCAATAGTGTAATAAGCCATGCAACTTATGCTGTCCAAAAGGCATTGTCCTCGGCAGACAGTTCTGCAAGGGCGTTCTCCTTCTCTTTTGACTGCCCTGAATCGTCTGATGCCTGCCACCGCGCACACTCACCACAATGCAAGGGATAGACAATGTGACTTCAAAGTGGGGATAGACAAACACGCAACAATCCCGCATCTGCACTGCAATCGGCAACAACTCGCTTTGGGAAGAACAGGTGAGCCAGGAAGCGCAATCATGTCTATTGCACCGACCGAAACCAGGTTGCGGTGCGTTTGGTGCTCCCAGCACTTCTTTAAGCTTGGCTTGTTCCAAAAACCCGTCCTTCCAACACTGTCACTTGCAGTCCACAGTCCCAGTTCACAATCAACACAAGGTATACTAAAGGTAGGTCATCCTAAACTACTCTTGCTTCATGCCACATAAGGTATCCAACTATTAGCAGGCCACATTGTCTTGAGAGGACAGCTTGCTTCGCTGTATTTTGTACGCCTGTACCGTAAGACCAACATTGCACGGCCATGAACTGTGTGCAAGGATGAATCGCACCAATGGCTAAAGCCAGTTTTACCGTTGCTTGATGTCATGCATATCTTGACAACTGACATGCCTGTGTGCGTGCTGAAAGGGTATGTTCTCATCTGCAGCTTGCACTGAGAAGGCATGTTTTGGAGTTCCCGCTTGTAAAAAAGATGAACAATCCGAGTGACGTTCTGACACAGGTCCTTTGAACCCCGCGGCTTCGAGTAATGGCCTCTTGCCAGGCTTTGGAAGCCAGGCCCTCCAGAAGAGAGACAGCTTTCACCGGGGCGTAGAAATGCAGTGGTACCTTTGCCAGGTTTCAAGGTCCGGGCTGAAAAACTTGCCAGATGCTGAAGTGAGGTCTGCAACTGCAAGAAAGGCACAAAGGGAATATTGAGAACGGCTGCACTCGCTAGCAAGCCCGCATCCTGGCCCCAGGCAAAAAGTCTGGCAACGGCTGCAATGCAGCCGTCAGCTACCGTCAGCTACCGTCAGCTACCGTCACGCCTTCTGCGCATCTGCAGAGATCCCCCAGGAACTCAGCATTGCCGGCAAGTCCAAGCCATACATGGATGCCACCTTGTCAGCCAATCAAACACTCAGCCAATGACCGCTCATTGCACCCTTACTTGGCTCTCAGTGCAGCAGAAAGTCCGTGGCAGCTGATAGGGTGCAGACGTTGGAAAACTTGCTGGACAGAAAATACGCCAGTCCACAGCGGTCAATCGGACCTTCTGCAAAGCGCCAGAACTTTGTGAGTCCATCAACAAGCTGCCGCAAGGCGTTTTGTCCTCGATCACCCAACCCTTGGTATAATTTGTCGTACGCTGACACAAAGAAGCGTCTGGCATCTGCATCAGTCGAAACAGCCTCAAATCATTTGAACTCTCATGACCAATAGATCGACAACCAAAGCGAGGAAGGCACTGTCTACTTCTTTGCAGGACCGACACTGGCCAGTCAGAACAAGAATAGACAAATGCTTGCTATTTCAGACGAGCGGCAGCTAATAAGGGCGAAACCTGCCCGAGTGGTATGTCACACACGTTCGAACGGGAACACTCCAGCATGTATTTGTCTGAACCCTTTTGCAGTGTAGTGTCGATGCGCCAAGCCCTAAAAGATCATCAAGTCAAAACATAGCACCGGTTTCAATGCGGTTGGAGGGGACCAGCTCCTCATTCCTGTGTGACTGGCTGAGAAATCGGACAGAAGACTAGGCCAATCTTTGGAAGGCTATGCCCTACCCTACACAGCATCACAAGAATAAACAAATCGGGCATGTACGCGTGCTGTTGGCACATCTGTTTTCGTTGCTTCAAAAAACGCAATCCAGCGAGTGACGGCTGTACGTAGCAGTACTCGAGTATTCCGGCAATTGCTGGACAAACCAGCGCGAGCAACATCCGAGATTGTACAGGCAAGAACTCTGGTCCATGAAAACTGAATAACAAATCAGAATCCGAGAAAACAGTCAAGGTGATAGCTAACAAATGCAGCTGCGCCCAGGCTAGACTGGAAAACAGAAAATCCAATCACCAGCAGGTTGAACTGGAGATATCCAGGTGCGTAGAGACAGCTTTTGAGAAGGCAGCAACAAGAAACCGCGCATGGACCAAACCTGCGAGCTGCATCGTTTGTGCTCCCCTTTCCCGAGGCAGTCCTTCAAGAGCGACAAGCGAGGAGCAAGCCGCGACAGTGTGGCGGCCAACGCGAAATTCAGCGGCTGGCGTATTTTCTTTGTTGATCGCATTGCTAGCCAACCCACCTCGGCAATGCGATAGTCTCTGCTCTGGGTCTGCGGTCGAAGCCCTACATATTGCAGGGCACGGCCCACTAAAAGAAGCACTACGACATGACATCTGCGGCCCCCCGCCCCTTCCCTGACACAATGCAAGATATTGATCTCGGAAGAGGGGTGACGCGCTGGGCTTCAACATTGTAACTGGGGGAGAGAACTACAGTGCAGCCTCAGCACTGCATAATCTGGTGCAGACAGTATCTCTGCCGGCAGGTAGCATGATAAAGCCATGAACAGGGTCAACCAAGTCGTGGTAGTGGTTGCATTGAAAAATATAACCTTGTAGCATGCTTTGCGGCCAAACACACAAATTGCAAAAACAAAATGCTTGCGTGTACGGGTTTGACTAGCAGTGACTAGCAGCCATTGCCATTGGTCGGCGCCCAAGAACCTTCGGAGTGCGAAGCATAGGCTTTCACCAACTTGGCATTTGGCGCGATCCACGGGCCTGATTCCATTCTCCGCAGAACCTGGTCCACCTGCTCCCAGCGCAGCCCAGCAAAGGTTCGCCAGTTCCAAGTGACCTGCAAAGCTTGCCATCGAAGGCATGCCAGGTCAAGCTCGAGCCTTCGAAGTCTTGCTTCCACGCCATACCGCGATATGCAAATCTTTGCAGTTCGCAAATTCTTAAGTTGTGCCATTGCTTCCTGGCAGAGGAGGTTTCTTCGTGCTTGAGCTAAAGGATGCGCCAGTGCGGGTACATGCTGCGGCTTTGCTCAACTGTGAAGGCGCACAAACATACTATGCTGACTGCTTGTACTCTGATAGTGGACACGTCTGGAAGCTGTACAACATTATTGGCAGGAGTTTTGGTAGACAAGTACTGGTCAGTTGGTCCGTATGTTTTCCACCGGCAGCACTGCCACAGCGCTTCTACTTTAGCATGGACCGGTGCTCATTGCGTCACGTCGGACTCCGGGCTCACATCCTGCAACGGACAAACAATCTGTCCTCAAGGCGCCTCCCAACGAGACCACATCTGCCAGGGTCGACTGCCAGTGGCAAGGTGGCGCTGAAGTCCTCGGGGTAGAAGCGCCCAAAGCTTCCCCTGCACACCTCGCAATGGCAATGCCGCTTCAATGCCACGAAGTCGCATACTGCCGCTGTCGCAAAGCTGCAGTCAATGATGAGACGCCTTGACCATGCGCTGGGCCTCAATGTCATCTGATGCCTGTACCGAGGATTTGCGTTGACAATTGCAGGCAGGGGCAGGCAGCACCTCCAGAGAGCGAAAAAGCCCGCCGGGAAGTTGTGGCGCGAAGCCGCTCTTGCCTCGGCATGGCAAAGAGCAAACTCAAAAAGAGCAGCTTGACCCACTCAGCTGAAGGCTCGCAAAGCTGGCGCAAGCCAACTCAAGCACTGCAACCCATTTGCAACCTCACTTTCTGACTTGAGTACAAAGTGCAAAGCGTCACATTGCAAGCTCCGAACCTGAAGTAGCTGCCTTCAAAGAATCGCAACCTGCACCCATGCGGAAGGGAGGCCAAGCCATGAAAGAGAAGGGCGGTTCCGAAACTCTCGGCACCACGAAATGATGATGTCGAGTCCAAAGAATGCATGGCATTCCACGTTGCATGTGTCATGCAAGGAAAGTGAACACTTGTGAGCACTTGTCGTGAGGTCATATGCTGCACTTGCACAAACATTTAGTACATGTGACAAGCGTGTTCAGTGCACAACCCCTGAAGGCAAGAGCTGCATGTGCCAGCTTTTGTCACTTTGTGACGCCTGCTTGCATGAGAACGGCAAGCCTTTGAAGAAATCACCTTCCTGTCCGCTTTCCCTGACCCTTGCTGTATTGGTTGGTGAGGGTGGGTTGGTTGCATACTTTGTTGTCTTCTTGCTTGTTCGATTGCCTCACTGCTTCATTGCTTGCTTGTTGGCTCGCCTGCTTGCTTCTACCTGGAAATGTTGCTAACTTATTTACAATAGACAGTGTCCGCTTCTCATGCAGCGACGTGTGTGCGTGTGTGTGTGTGTGTGTGTGTGTGTGTGCTTGTGCCACACTGCATTTGATTAATTTGAACATAGCGCGTGATAACTCATTCCACGACAAACACATTGTTTAAAAGGCCGCTAGCAGATCAGCAGCAATACAGCCCGGCACATACATGAAGATCATGAAACCGAGCTTGCATCTCGGTCTTGTAGAAGATGCGCATGGATCCCTTCTTCAGTGCACAAAACTCCGTGATATCCTTCAGTGGAACATTGTCAAATTCAATACCCTATCCCTATTTGTAGCGTGTTGGTTGCTGCACAACTATAGGATACTCTTGCTGCTCTATCAGTCAACAATGCTCAGTATGCTGCACCCCTCAGATCCACTATTGCAAGTTCTGGCGGGAATCGGCCCCGCACTGCAAAATGATATCAAACTGTTCTTATTTGACTTACAAGCAACCGCTAATCAAGTACTGGGAACGCCCAACACCATGACATCAACCGTTGTTGAGCTCCAATCTGACCAAAACAAAGTCCAACACCAACTTGAATTGAAAACACCCAAAGCTATGGAATGCCAGTCCTTTGTTCTCCTGGCCTTCCAGTAGGGCATGGCGGGCATCGGAGGGCATGGCCTGAGCTCGGTGTCGAACACGGTTCCTTTGAGGCTTGCTAAGCTTGCGACAGACAAATGCCAAAGAAGCCACGAAATAGAGCAAAGAGCTGCGGAACTGCCTACAGGGATTGTGTCTTTGCATCGCCGACTGCCAAGCACCATGCCAGCCCATTGTGCACTCTTGCAAACGCTGAGAATCAAAATCATGCTGCCGCCAGCTTAAGTGACAAAAGCGCCTGCTGTGACATGACCGTCTCTTGCCAGACCATCTGCAACTTTCAACCTAAGAATAAGTGTGTGTGAGTGCTATCAATGTCACTCCATGTTCCAGCAAATCCAACTGAGCATGCGGCGCCCGATCCAAATGAACGGCCTGCAGTTCTGACAGCAAGACCGTCTCAGAAATGGCCTGAACTCTCGAGCCTCCTCATCAGGTTCGTCAGACTCGCTTGTTGCCTGCAAGCGGGTGTTGATCTCGTGACTTCATGCGCATGCAATCCGACCTGAATGGTATGTGCCTGCAAACCTCAGTCAAAAGAACAGCAATACATTTGATGACGAACCTTAAGACCTAAGGCTGCATCACTCATCGAGAAGCTGCAAATGCACCTTTGGCCTCGAGCAACCCCCCAGCGCATTGTCTGATCCTAATTCCACGTTCAGGCTCCCACTGCAGCCTCACACCCATCATAGCTGCATCCTATCGCCATTCGGGCCATTTGCCAGTGAGACTTGAACTACTCGAACCTGCAGCAGGGCAAATGCCTCGCCCATAGGATCCTGCAGTGCGAAACGTGATGAACATGCGCCAACATGTGCCCTCCACCAAGCCTGGACTTGATCTGAGATTCGGCCACATCTCTTGCTTTCTTTGCACCAATTTAAACGTTGCGAGAGATTACTCAGGATTCAAACGCATGCTTTGACGTGGCAATTTGGCAAATTGAGAAGTACACCAGATATGGCGGCTGGCGAAGCTGAAGGATTCGGCCTGCTCCTTTGGCAACTGCAGCATACCCTGAACGGCCAGGCTGTACAGTGGCGCCTCCGCTGGGCAAGTTCATGTCACAACGGGCAAGTCCGCAAGGTGCCTCCAACTGAAAGCGCCAATCTTCCCGCATGAGCTTGGCCAGCTCCTAACAATTGGGCATGTCACAGCCCCACCCAAATAATCACAGCGGACCCTCACAACCATCGGCTTGTTGTCGTCCAAACATTTTGACATTACCTGAGGCCGCAGATGTAGCGGCAAGTGTGCACGGCATGCGCAGCTGCAACTAGGTTCCATGCTGCATAAACGAGTGCAGAATCCTCAGCAAGCCATGCAGCAACACTACGTTGCCGGCACGTTGCAAGGCCCTAAGGCTCGCGCTGGCGGAGTATCCAACCATGTGCCGTAGAGCTTGACCAGCTCGACAGCCTCAGACCTTGTCCCGGGCCAGCTCAAGTGTGCGATTGAACGCCGCCTGAGCTAATGGCTCGTGCTTCGCAATCATGGTAGCTGCAAGCAGACGAGACCTCATTGCAGAAAACCGGCTACAAAGAAAGCATTGTCAAGTCTTGCATCTGTTGAACATAATATAGAAATGCTAAGTCTGAGACGAGAGTTGTCGATGCTTCAGCTTTACGCCGAAGTTGTAGAACAGGTTCATTGCTTGCAAGGCCTGTCAAGCGTGACACAAACTTGTTACCCCGAAAATCGAATTTGCTCAGGTCCTGACATACCCCACATCTTTCTTGCTCCGAACGACGCGCAATATCTCAAACAAGTTCCACACTCCGACCTGCCAGGGAAGAGAGCAAACCCCTTTGGACAGGAGCTGCGCAGGCCTGCTTTTGGTTCACTGCGCCGATGTGACCGAATTTCTGCTTGAGGTCCTCAAGTGCAAGCATGCAATGTGCCACGTTGGTCGAAAGCGTATCGAGGCACTCCTCAAAAAGTATTCGAGGCGTATCTCGTCCTGCGCCCATGCCAACATTTCTCACTTGTGCCGCAAAAAGCTGCACAGGACTACGTCCTGGCGCACTGGCAAAGGCCAAGCTGCTTCGCAATCTCCCTTCCAGAAGAAAGTCAAAGCAAAAGAATTCCAACCAAGGCAGGCCTGGCCATCTCCTTGAAGCTAGCATGTTCTGAAATGCTGCAACCTGATGCTACAAAAGAATCTGTGAAATGGACAGCGCTGGAGCAGCACGAATGAACTGCAACTACATGATGCTAAAAAGCGCTCTCTACAATGGTTCAGTCGAATGGCAACCACTATTGCCTTGCCTTGTGCTCTGAGTACCAGGACCATGGCAATGTCGTGACCCTGCGTCTTGTGCCAACAATGATGAATTGGGGGAGGGGAATCATGTTGCGGCTGAATCCACATGAGAGTAAATATGCAGCCACGATGGGCCACTTCTTCAATGACCCCTGCGTGTTGCAATCTATGCCGTTGCTGCTAGCAATACTATTTAACCTAAATTTGAGGGCAATATCTTTGGATTCGCCATGTCCTTGTTTGTCACAATTTGGCTAGGCTCAAGCTTGAGGAAAAGCTCAGTGCTCGGGCCAAAGCGTTCAACTGCCAAGATTGTTAGCCACAAGCCGTCAACACGTGTTGATTCCACATCATCATGTTACGAAACAATTACGCAGCCAAGTTTTGCTTCAGCAAGGGCGCAGTGGGTGGCAGTTCAACATTAGTTGATAGAACTCAGGACGGCTAGGAAAACAATGTTCCTTTCATGCTCCAGTGTTCTGTGCTCAAGATGCCTACATGCACGCCGATCGCTTGCTTTTGTCCGTCGAAAAATCCGTCGACCGCCTCTGACTGCCTTGTCAAATGACGCTAGCTAGCTGGCCGTTCTCGGAGCTGCAGCGGTAGCGGGAACGGCCCAGCAATGCCCTTGTATGGTGCGATTGCCATTCACGCTCTAAACACCACACTGCTACACATCACCAACCTCACAATGCCATAAACACAACCATGCGCACTGGCAGAAAGTGTTGCTCAAGCCTGACTCAAGCCTGCCACATTTGCTGAAAAGTGATCAACATGTGGCTAGTAGTATGTAAAGGAGGCTTATAGGGACCAATGAATTTTGCGGCTTTGGGGCGTTTTGGGTTTTTTTGCAGTTGTGCAAGAGGCCGCGAGACTGCGTTTTAGGGCGTTTTGGCCGATGCTGGCACGGGGCTTGTAGTCCGCACAGAAGCAAGTTCATCGTCTCCCTTTCGAAGTTCATCGCCTCCAGCCTCCTTTCCGAAGTTCATCGCCTCGAAAAGGAGGCCCCCGCCTCAAGTTCATCGCCCCCCTTGCCGCGAAGAACTTCGCCTTGAAAAAAGGCACGAGGGGGCACGTTTAAGTTCATCGCCTGGTCGGCAAGCTGAAAAAGGCACGAAAGGCACTCGCCCCGATGTACTTCTTGACGGGAATCTTAACGCTTGGGCTGAAGACGTAGATCCTTTCAAAGATGCCTCGATACTGCTCCAGAATCAGGCTGATCAGCGCCACCTCTCTCTTCAAAAGATTCCCCAAACGGGTTTCGATGCAACTGCGGGGCGTTAAGGCATGTCGCACTGCTCCTAGCTTGAACCCAAACATGAAACCTCAAAAGAACAAAGCTCGTCCGAAGCGGCCGCGGGATTGCTGAAAGTTGCACTGCTTCCAGGGCACTAGTGCGCCTGGAGCAGGAGGCACATTGACCCCCCGAAATGTGAAAAGGCAAGACAATGCGTGTCCTTGCGTGTAAATGCAGTGCTTGGGGGGCGCGGCATGCGTGCCCACGCCCCAAGGTCCGGAGACCGACAGTCCGGAGACTCGAGGTCCGGAGACCGAAATTGGTCCGGAGACCTGGTCCGGAGACCACAGTGCCCGGAGGCGACCCACGAAAGTGCAGAGAAACTGTTGTCTATCCTGGCAAAGCCTGGCATAGGGCAGTGCAGGGCGGGTGGGTGGGTTTCAGAAATGAAACCGCAGGTTTGGGTCAAGGCTAGGAGCAAAACGGCCAACGCATAGTTCGATTCACCACATGCCCTAAACACAAGGGAAAAGAAACCCTAAGCGTTAAGGCATGTCGCACTGCTCCTAGCTTGAACCCAAACATGAAACCTCAAAAGAACAAAGCTCGTCCAGCGGCTACGCGGACGTGCTGCTGCGCCCCACCATGGTGGGCATCCTGCGCTGCGGGAAGATGCTGCCGCCGCAGCTGAACCTGGTGATAGAGATCGAGTTTGCGGACGCCACGACTGCGCTGTGGTCTGAGAACGCCGGGGCGCACCCGGCGGGAGCCACGCTGAGCACCGACTTCGAGAACCAGAACGTCCGAGTTCTGGCCTCACAGGTCGTCCTGGACTCTGCGCTGGTGTCTCCTCTCAGGCAGGAGGACAGCCTCCTGGAGTCGCAGATGCAGCTGGGCAGCCTGCAGTACCCGCACAACCCTATGAAGGGAGCCTCGGAGCACTTCCTCCTCTCGGTCCTTGCGGGGACCTACGACGACACGGTGCGCAACATCGACATCGACCGCGCTGGCTACCTGCGCCACAGCTTCATCGCAGGCTTCCCGACAGAGCGAGTGCCCAAGATGCCCCTCAGTGGCGTCAGCACTCGTTCGGGCGACCTGGCTCGGTTCACCTTCAAGGCGCTCGACGGCACGATGACGGATGTGTTCATCCACCTGATAGCCTAGTGACTGGGACTGGAGTCTCAGTGCTTGACTAGTAAGGATCCATAGCTCAATTGGAAGAGGCGACCGCGGGCTCGATTCCACCCGGGCGCGGATCATTATTTCGGGGTGAGTGCCCTTTGCGAATTCATTTTCCTCCCTCTATTCGAGAAGGATCCCCGAGACGGATCTTTCCACCTCCAGCCCAGTGACCGCCTCTCCTGGAATAGAAAAATCCCGAGACGGATCTTTCCATCTCCTGGGAATAGGAAATTCCCCGAGACGGATCTTTCCGCCTCCAGCCCGGTGAGCGCCACTACCTAGAGGGCCTTTTATCCCAAGGTCCGAGACGGATCTTTCCACCTCCAGCCCGGTGAGCGCCACTGCCTAGAGGGCCTTTTATCCCAAGGTCCGAGACGGATCTTTCCACCTCCAGCCCGGTGACCGCCTCTCCCGGGAGCAGGAAGTTTTCGAGACGGATCTTTCCATCTCCTGAAAATAGGAAATTCCCCGAGACGGATCTTTCCGCCTCCAGCCCGGTGAGCGCCACTGCCTAGAGGGCTTTTATCCCAAGGTCCGAGACGGATCTTCCCACCTCCAGCCCGGTGAGCGCCTCTCCTGGGAACAAGAAATTTTTCGAGACGGATCTTTCCATCTCCTGGGAGTAACAAAATTCCGCCTCCAGCCCGGCGAGCGCCACTTCCAGCCTCCAGCCCGGTGACCGCCACTACCTAGGGGGCTTTTATCCCAAGGTCCGAGACGGATCTTCCCACCTCCAGCCCAGTGAGCGCCTCTCCTGGGAATAAGAAATTTCCGAGACGGATCTTCCCGCCTCCAGCCCGGTGAGCGCCTCTCCTGGGAATAAGAAATTTCCGAGACGGATCTTCCCGCCTCCAGCCCGGTGACCGCCTCTCCTTAGAGTAGGAAATTACCCTGGCCCAAGACGGATCATTGTGGAGAGACGGACCTTTCCGCCTCCAGCCCGGTGAGCGCCACTACCTAGACCGAGACGGATCTTTCCACCCCGAAATTTCCGAGACGGATCTTTCCATCTCCTGGGAATAGGAAATTACCCGAGACGGATCTTTCCGCCTCCAGCCCGGTGAGCGCCTCTCCTGAGGATGAAAAAACATATCCTGGTCCGAGACGGATCATTGTGGAGAGACGGATCATTGTGGAGAAACGGATCTAAAAAAAACATATCCTGGTTCGAGACGGATCATTGTGGAGAGACGGATCATTGTGGAGAGACGGATCTTTCCCAGCCAGCCCGGTGAGCGCCTCTCCTGAGATAAAAAAACATTTCCTGGTCCGAGACGGATCATTGTGAGACAGATCTAGGGAACAAGATGTTCGCATGGACCGAAGTGTTTGAGTGGATCGAGCATGGCTTGACCGTCGCCACGCAGCACGCATTGAATCTGAGCGGCTTGTTCTGGCGCTGCTGCGCACCTCGCAGAGGCAGAGGTGGCTGTAGCCCCTGCTTGATCGCAGCCTGCAGGGCGCACCAGCCGCTGAGGGGCTTGGCGCGGCCTTGCCCTTGAACGCGGCCTTTGGCGCAGCCTTGGCCAGGGCATGGGCCTCTCGGGCTTGCTGCCGCTTCCTTCTGCCTCGCTCTCGGTGCCTCGTTGTCGCATCCTCGCAAGCTCTTCGCGCGGGGCCGCTGACAGGAGAGCCCATCGTGGCGATGTAGCGCAGCAGGAAGTGGAAGTCGTAGCCGCCCCCGTTGTGAAAGACCACTGGGATGGTCTTGGCGTCTGGCCGCGATGTTGCAGGAGTGGCACAGCCCCGAGATACCCGGCGCCGTGAGTGGTGGAGTTTCTTCTCGGCGGTCTCGAAGGACGCGAGGCACCTGCACTCGGGCGTCCGGGGGTCGTTCACCTCGTCGAAGCCCTCCGGCCTTGTTCTGGTTGTACTCGCGGCCCTTCAGCAGGTCATGCACGGCCACGGTGCGGCCGTAGTAGTTAATGTCGTCGCAGCGCTGCCGTTGGCGAAAGACTCGCTGGTCGGAATGCGGCAGACCCTCAAGGTGGCGGGAAAGAAGGAGCTCAGCGAGCTGGGAAATACTGCACGTCGTGCCGTGCGGTCACGTAGTTGGTGTTGCTGGTTTTCAGCTCCAGGTCTGCATCAACTCATCCTCTCGGGCCAGCTGGTCGTAGCTCGGCGGAGGCAGGCGGCTCTGGTGGAGTTTGGCTGGGACGCCTGAATTTCCAGCACCCATCCCGTGCCGCGGGCCAGGCCGTAGGCTGCGCCGCCTGCGAGTCTCACGGCCAACCCTGCCGTTGCCGCTGCGCCAACTGCTGCTCCTTCGGCCAGGCCGCCAAGTACAAGGCCCCGCCCACACCCTCTGCGGCAACGGCAACCTCTCCCTCCTCCGCAGCCACTGCTGCGCCACGCTCCACCTCCTGCGCGCGCTGGAGCGGAATGAGCCGCTGCCCCTGGACCAGCCGGACCGCAAGGCCACCACGTTCATCACGAGCCACTCTACTTAAACGACTTCGTGCAGCAGCGACCCCAACCCGCAGCCTCTGCAGCACACTCCTTTGAGGGCGATTCCAGAGGAAGGCTTCCGCACTCCCGCTGAGGCCACGGACGAGGACTTGGCCCGGATGCGCCAAGGCGGAGGAAACCGCTTCGGCAGGCTTGGGCCGTACCTCGCTGTGTACCTCGGGCCGTACCTCTCTGT